TTTTAGCACTTGGATAGTGTTGTTTTCGTACTTCACTGATTTTCTTCTCTAATTTTTACAAGGAAATGTTTGGCTTCTCCTTTCTTTTCAGCTAAAACCCTCAACCCAGCTCTCAATTTTCGTTTATTTTTAGTTTATGTTTTTCTGATACGTCTATGGCCTTGTTTATTAAATAATCCTTTTCGGGTCTGAAGGGACTTTTTAATTCGGTTTGCTTGGCACAATCAACCAACTCCATCCTCTCACTTTTAACCATCTTCATAAAATAAAACTATTTTTCTGATATTTTTATTTACACCTAGAGAGGTGAAAGTACCATAGTGGCCATAGTTACAAACATTTTCGCAGTTTTCTCAAAGTTTTGGGGCTTTATTACTAATCTTTTTATGTCAAACTCTAATGATCATGAAAATACCTCTTTTTAATAAATATTTTGGCTAAAAATTGTCAATTTTTAACATGCTTTATTTCTTAATAATTAACTCCCAGCCCCTTTTTTCAGTAGCGGCCGCATAAAAATCGCACAATTTCGGCTTGACTCATTTAATCAATGTTCTTACCTACTGGATCGTGTCTGAGATGGAAAAACAGTTCAAAGAAATTGCTTCACATTACATTATTTCAATTCCAATATTAAAAATATGTCAATTGTTTTTCTAAGTATAAGTAAAGGAAATGAATAATATTCGATCTAATTCTCACTGACTCAGTGTCATCCACGTCCAATCGAAAATCATTAACTGCGAAGCTCTAATTACTAACAAGCTGCGTCTAGTTCGCAGGTACGAGAAATGCACAGATTCAGGAATCGCTGTTGCTCCCTTGCATCCTTTAGAGTTTAGAAGCAAGGTCGTGCCCCACCCGCACCGTGCCGTAGACCGCACTCCGGACGCGACGTGTTACGCGTCCCAGCGGCCGTCCTTCATTGCAACGGCCCGTGGAGAAAGCGGGGACGCGCGGACGAAGCGCGCGTCGCGCGGCGGCCCCCGTGCGCTACATCAGCGTCGCGACGCGGCCTCCTGGCGCTCTCGCACGCCCCCACGCCCCGCGCGTCGCCACGCCCCCGCTGCTGCGGCGCGCGCTGCTCCTTTGTTCTCGTCGCCTCCGCGCGCGCCTCCCGCGGGACACGCTTTCCTGCCGTCTCTCCCGCGGGATTTTGCAATCCGGCGACAAATTCGCAGATGCTGTGTTGTTGCGCGGATGAAGTAATTTCGTAACTTTTTTGTTTTTTAATTTAGATTCCTACACTGAAGTACTCGAAAGTGGTTGTTTTTGCAGTGCGAAATATTGAGGGGCATGGTTAAAATATTGTAACGGTATCATTGCATTTGAATTTATACATTAATAACAGATGTTAGAACATGATCGATAAAATATTTATGAATTATCAACTAAATCAAATTTTATAATTCTTACAAATTGAAAATACTCAGCAAACTGTCGACAGTAATGACACTTAATTCTAATGCTTCAGATTGCGCTGTTTGTGCAATTTTCGTAATCCTTTGAACTCGTGAAAAATTCCCGTACCCGTTGTTTTTGAAGAAGTACGTTTGATACCATCTTTAAGTTTCTTTAAACCACGTGCCACGATTTTCTTCCGTATACTTCTTCCACACTCGTTTGTTTTTCTCATAACTCATTCTGGTTCTTCAAATTCCGCGCTGCCCTGTCTCCCATTGTATATCTCCGCTGCCTCCTCCATCTTGACCTCGTGTCAGTCCGCAGCGCCCTGCCGTTCCTTTCCACGCTATCCTACAATCTCGCCTCGCCAAACGTGTCCCGCAGCTTGCTCGCCGCTCCGCCCCGCCCCGTTCCACCCCGCCTCGCTTCCCCCGCCCAGCCCGCCTGCCGACCCGCTCACCCCGCAGGCTCCACCGCCCGCCCGCGCCGCCCGCCTCCGGCCGCTCCGTCCACCCGCGCCCGCTCCGCACACCCGACCCGCGGCCCCACCTGCCCGCTAACGGCCACACAGCGTTCAATCGGCCTGCACCCCGCTCCAGCCCGTTCCGCCCCCGCCCCAGCCCCGTTCCGCCCGCCCCCGCCCCAGCTCCTATCGGTGCGAGCGCCACCAGGCGACACGCTCTGCGTTTCCGCTTCCCCCGTCTCCTCCTCCGCGTCTTCTCCAGCCGCCGCTGTCTCCCTCCTTCGCATGCTGCTCGTCGCGCACGTTGCCTTCCCTTAGCCTCGCCGTTTGTCCCTCCAGCCGCGCCCCGCCCCTCCTCGCCCCGCGCCGCCGCCGGGGCATTAGCACCTCGAGGTCTCTCCGTGTGTTTGCGCTGCGACACTTCGCGCGGGGATGGGACTGCGGGGAAATCTTCGGCGGCGCGCGGGGGCGGGCGAAAAAGGTAGTAGCGCGAGCGCGGGCGTGAGCGCGGAAGGCGCGCGCAGGTTCCTCGCTCAATGGGGCGGTCGCATATCCATCAAAGGGTTTTACTGCGAAGGTGCGACGCGGAGGCCGCGCGGCTCGCGGCGCGGTGGTCGTGCGTCCGGCCTGCTCGCGAGTGGGCACGGCTCCTGCCACTTCCGCGCTCCACCGCCTCGCTCGCGCCGACGCCGCACTTCGAGAGCTTTTACCAGCACCTGTTCCGCTGCCCCTACCTCTTCTGTTTCCTTGATAACCAACCTCGCTACTGCCTTCCCCGTGCGCAATTCTGGTTATATATTCCCTAGATCCTCCATCTCAGCAGTGGCTGCCTGTTCTCGTTTTTTTTCTTTCTTTTTCACCTTCGACGCACAACTTCATTAGTCAGTGAGCTTTAATAAACTGGATCTGCGAGTACCGTGACGACTTCTACTGAAATGGATAATCAGCTGTGTGATTATGCTTTCGTCTGTTATTTTACGTATTCCTTTTGGTGCTATGCTAAATTCACAATCTCCATCCCAATCCACCGTACTGTCTTTACGATTTCTACGTACTTCATCTTCAACTCGATACGATGATTACCAGTAAACTCTAACCTTTCCGTTTCCCTTTTCCCACCTGCTTCTTTTCTCTCGCCAGCTGCATCTGGATACTTCTCGACATTTTTATCGCCACCTGCTCTTCTTTTGTTTGATCTGTCAACCTCACCTTTGGCAGTGTCTTTGCTGTCATTGCTGCCCCCACCGCCCGGTTTCATCTCCTCATCCCCCTGTAACGCCACCGCGAAGGCGCCCTTCCACTCCACCATAAACCGGGAAATGTTTTCGTGCCGAGCGCGACCACACATGCGCCCCGTCCGCCGCCGCGCCGAGGGCAGATGTGCTCGCGAAAGGGCCCGCGTATGTTTGCCCGAGGCGCTGGAAGTGAGCGAATATTCCCGATGACTTTCTCGGGGGAAAACATCTTAGCCGTCTGCGAGAGAGACACTTCTCACGCGACGGGGAAATATTCGGAGAGCGTGAGAAATGCATTTTGGAGAAATGCGGGGGGTTCGGGATTATAAAATGATTTTATGTGTGGTACAGGAACTCTTGGAAAAACAGTAGTAAAACTCCACTGGGATGTGGCTTGGTTCGGTACCTAGATCATTATTTCGATTTTGTGCTATTAAACTTAAGGAAAGTTTCACCGTTCAAAAGTTTTTTTCTTACGGAAAAACTTTAAAATAACAAATGAACTTCAATATGATTTGTAATATCATGCTTTTAACTGGACGTTTAATTACGTGCAGTTAATGTTGATGTTTCTTTTGGACTTTGAATGTTTAATTTATAAAACGTGCAAAAAACATGCTTTATGAATATAGAAACCTGATCGAACTAGATAATTTCAGATGTTTTCAATATAAGTCTCTAATATAATAAGCAGCAAACTACCTAAATGGATAGGTCTTCTCTGTTTATGAACGCTAACTCATCCTTTCACAATGTTTAAGCAGTTAAACGTGCCAGCTATCGACCCTATTAGAGAGGTCATGTGGACCTAAAACGATTTGAGTAGTTTCGCCAGAAACGAGCGTCTGCCCCCCGTCCGCGCGCTTCGTTCTCGCTCGGAGACAACTTGCGCGTCGCACAACCCGCGAACGAGGGAGAGACAGAAAGCGGCCAACCTCGCCGCACGTAAACTACTCCTCGTCACGGAAGAGGTCTTACTACGCCGCCACCCGCCGGCCGCTGAAGTATTTACGGGAGACGCGCGGCGGCCGGGGTCGCCGCCATTCCTTTGAACCTCCCACGCAACGCGGAGCGGGCGACGCGGCCGGGCGCTGCAGTTAACTTTGTTCGTTTGCCCCCTCCCCCCCCTCCTCCCTCCCTTTGTGATGGAGTTATCCTTTAGGATACGCCGACATGAAAGTGTAACTACGTTCGTGACGCAGTGGAAAGTGCATATTTCAGGAACGATCTCCCTCCATCGGCATGTTCGAATGCGTGTCGGCAGGGCAGGGTCGCCCGGAGGATTGCGTCAGCTGGCCTGTGCAGCTATTTATTCACTAGTTTGGGGAAGTGGTAGTATCCGTCGTAATAGCCGAGGGAATGAACTTTTTATGTAAGGCAGGAATACTGCATAGGGCTCTGGGACCGTACGTCCACTGGGCGATCCAATTGTAGGTCACGCATCGGAAAGTATTAAACTGATTCTCTTTCATGTAATCAATGTACTGCAGTCCAATATTAATTGCTACTCTACAAAATTCCAATAGTTAATGTTTCATATTGACTTGGAAATATTTGAAGCATTGAGTACCCGCGACTTATCGTGGGCGCAGTATTTTTTTATTCATTGACATTCCAAGTGTTCTGCATAAATGCAATGAATGTGATTTATCTTCCTTTATAAAATTTTGGGGGCGATCGGTGATAAATCTTGAAATTTGACTATTTCAACACAGGTAAAAACTGTACATTAAGAGAGATTATGAGAGCCTTTGTACCATCTCTCCTTATATACTTTTGCAGCATTTGCCTAATGAGTAAATTTCTGAGCACTTTCTATTATAAAAAAAGTATCTTTCATGCGTTAAGACAGGCAAACGAGTCTCGATAGTTAAATTGCATGCACTTTTTGGTCTTACCATCGAAATCTCCTTCCTGGATGGAGCTGATGCGGTTCTCCTGCATCTCGAGTCTTTTGAGTGACTCGAGGATAGACAACGCCTCAGTAGGCACGCGTGTCAACTCGTTCCCGCCCAGATTCAGTCGCTTCAGCTTCCTACAAAAAACAGAAAACCACTTTTTACCACAATGTTCAGTAAGGAAACAAATCTGGAGAGTGTTTTGAGAAAAGATAAAGTGATAAATTTTAAGATTAAAGGAAATATGGTTCGTTATTCCAAAGCATCACATTTTGTCTGTTATGTGATTATATGTTTTACGAAGATTTAAATTCCTTGAACGAATCTTCAAATTTATATTGCAGAACTGTTTTATTTTAGCCACTGAGTACAGGACAGAGACCATTATTGCGCAACATAGACGAAATTAAATATTAGTGTAGTGGACAGAACTAGTTAGATAAAATAAGACATTTAACTCCTATTGAGTACAACTCACTGGCCAGTGATTAGAAAAATAAACTTAGAAAATCAATGTTGATAATAATAATAATAATAATAATAATAATAATAATAATAGAAACACAGAACGACAGTACACCGAATGGGGATACACCGCACTTCCTTGCGTTTCAATACACTGACGCACTTCATGACAACTTGTTGAATTGAACGACACTTACAATTGCTCAAGTTTCATCTTCCTCAATGGAAGATTCTAAATATGCTTAATCTATTGTTTCTAAAGTCATATAAACCTATTTCTAAAAGCGCGGAAATTGCGATGAAGCCTTTAGAAAATTGCTGCAGGCAAACTGTTCCTATCTCTTAAACTTCTATTGACTGATGAAAATTTTATAGTATCTTTTTTTTGCTTTTTTAAAATTTTGTGAGTATAGTCTCCTCTACCAAAATAGGTTGGCTTCCCTAAAATACTCCAAATTTTCCTACCAAGTCGACTGGTTGTTTTATTTATATTAAACAGACCTCGTTTTCACTCTTCTGGTTTCGAGCTGTTTTCTTAACTTTTTTAATGCATTTTCTTGTACGAAATATTGTGAGCTTTCTTTTGATCTCTATCTAGTTTTGCTTTACAATAAATTCTTTATATCTCAAACAATCATTTGTTTGAGTCAGTAGTAGCTCGTAAAGAGACGACAATGCTATTTATTTTATATTTGTCATCCACTTCTCGAATGTTCGCATAACAAAATGCAATGACTTCCACGTCATGTCATAACTGGATCAATTTGATCTTACCTTCACTTACTGAATACCAAGGTACTTACATGACGATACTAGCGGAATTATGTCGTTAGCCAAACTAATCAGATACTGCGGAATTACAATATCGGCCAAATGTCATTTCTTTACAATTCATTAATTTCAATTCCACTTACTTCGCTTCAAAAACGTAAGCTACGTGATGTTGCATAATAATTTTTACTGTCCTTTGATTTGAGTACTCGATGCAATCATAGAATAATGGGAGATCATTGACGAAAGCTTTGAAAAGGAGAGATCCAATTGCACCTCCTTGTGGAACACCTGTTGTAACGTAAGTTGTCAACATTCAAAAACTATGCCCTACTCAAACCGTTAACTGCCGCGAAATAATTCGTAAATCCATACCTCTACCACACACATGTATTTAATTCCGATTTCATTACTTTCTCGATTTTGACGTAATTTATGTTAGACTACATTGGACGATTTTAAAAATTATCTCATTTTGAATTATTGTAAAATTTTATTTTATCTCTGTAATTTGGAAAAAACATATTTCATTTACGAATAAAAAGCTACTTCGAACGCCTTTTAGTAAAAGTATCTTTACATATCAGCTATTTCGAGTTATAGCTGAATTTTCTAGATTTTAAAAATCAGTTGCATGAGTCAATGAAAACGACCCAAATCTCCTAACGCCTCGATGTAAACATAAGATTATCAGTATTAGTAGACAATCAAGTTCTGCGGAGCTTTTCTTACCAGAGTAAACGCTTGCTTTCATTCTGTTTGCATTTCATTAAGCCCATACTTAGCAAGGTGATACAAATGACATTCTATTGATTTATCAAGTATTTCACAACCAACAGCTGTGTCAAAAACTCGGTGGAAGGGTAAATGCAGAAAAAGCATGAAGATAGATTTTTCAGACATAACATGCGAAATATTGACGTATTTTTTTTATTTAATTTCTTTTGTATGTTTCTGAAAAGCTTTAAAATCAATATTAAATATTTTGTTCACTCTAAGCGAAATTAAATACATACTGTGTATTTGTTGTTGGATAATATTTATAATACTTTTATTTATTTCACGGTAAAAGTGAAATATGCCATTGAATCAACCTGTCACAGTAGTGTTATTAATGAAAGTGAATATATCAAGGAAATGTAGAAGAGATGATTATCACGTGAAACTCCTATATTAAAGCGTGTAAAGAGGACATGTTTAGAGTATTATTGAAACATGAGCTGTCGTGACATCCTGAAAAATATAAAATTTACTAATTTAGAATCTGGGATATTAATTAGATAACATTATGACATTAAGTATCATATGTCATTAAATGGCATTTTTTCATAGCGAACATGCCTTATGTACATAATTCATAGACGATATAATTATCTTAACTCGTGATTACTTCACCTCTTATTTAATTATCGATTTGAGATATTTCGACACACACACACACACACACACACACACACACACACACACACACATATATATATATATATATATATATATATATATATATATATATATATATATTTGTTCCTACACCACGTAATCACAAAAATATCTTCCTCTAATACACTGACACCTTCTCATAAGGGTTCGTATTGTCAACTTGAAAGAAGAAATCTTATTCGTTTTGCTGATCGCAAATTGATTAATCAACGTGTTTATAAACAACATTGTTGAACTGGACGACCCGTATAATGTAGAAGTTCTTTTTAATAGCATCAGGTTTTTTTTATTTATGTCGTTCAGAGACCTCAGTAGATGTTTGTGTGGTGGTTTGTTATCATTTCAACCTCAAAAGTTATTATTTATGACGTTTAATTAATGAATTAAAAGTTATATGAGTAGACTTTCTTAATCGAACAAGTTATGTTTATTCAGAATTTCAAATGGAACCATGCGAGTTGAGCTTCTTCGCAAGAATCGATCTTAATAAAACCGACTCTGAAAAAACTTCGTTTGATAACAGTTTATGTCTTGTGATTGAGAACTCTTTTTGGAGCGCTTATCAATGATGGTCGTAAAATGTTGAAGTTATTTTGCTCACGTCGAAAGCTCGGTTTAATACTCTGAATGATGATCTGCAGTAAACATTCTAGAGCCCTGCTACCTTGATTCATACCTGCCGATCAATGCTCTTTTGTTTGTTGTGTAAGCACCGTCGAAAGAAGTTTCATGACAACGATGTAAGCTCGTTACTGAATGCCTTGTTGGAAGGGGTGCGTGTTTCACAAAAGGCGATGGTATCTTAGTTTTTCAATACTTCTAACGAACTGATGACTAAGTATTAAGCACACGGGGCACTGAGATAATAGGTAATCTATCTCTTTTTATCTTAATGAACGATCTGCATGTCGTGTCTTTTTTTATGTTCTTTGGGTTCACGTTTGTACAATGAATATCTAAACTTATACAGTATCAACATTTGAACTTTTTTTGCGTGCCCTTGCAAGATAATGACATTGAACGTTTTCATTAAACTCAATTTAAAAACAAAAGAGAATCCTAGAATCAATTGTATGTTGGTAATTTTACTGCAAGAGGAGCTATATCCTATGATCCATCTTCCACACTTACTTTTGACGAACAGCACATCTGCAGATTCCCGAATCCCAGATCTGAAGCCTCACAAAGTACGCGTGCGTTTTGCTCTAAAACTCCGAAATCGTTTGTCAAAACAATGTGTAAATCGTGATAAGGGTGGGAGGTAATTGACTGAGTCTTATGCACGGCGCAGCTCTCGAGTGAAAATGTGAATCGTGCGAAAGAACACTGCATTTTATCAAACACTAGTTTCGGAGAAAATGAAAACTTATGTTTTCTTTTAGGACAGTCTGTAACCATGGTTTCAAGTTTTTTTCTATCCAAATTCAATGAATGAGCTCTTTTGACTTACGTCGGCTTTGTAAATAATTTTGAAGGAGCGAAAACTTATTGAGGAATTGCTTCATTTTCTCATATCTATATTTGTATATTCTTGAATGGGTGAAATTTGCAAAGAAAGCGTCACGGCTGGGGTGGTGCTCCGTTGTTGGAAGATACCTGGATGGAGAACCCCTCCCTCCTCCAAGCCAACGTTTAAGTCGGCGCCTGATCACACCGTCCAACTTGGAAACAAGACAGCCACTTGTAATGAAAAAACATGCTCTACACTGACTGGAGTAATGATCATAGCAATTGTCACGTTCAGAAACACGAAATAAGCAACGTCATTGCTACTCAATGTAATGTGTGATCGCATATGTGACTGTCCTAGCAAAAACGTTTGAAAATCTAAGAAGTTGTTTATTAACGTGCCATAAAAGCGAAAAACTGAAGCGTTGCTATGTTATTTACGGAAGTGTTCATTGAATTTTTCGACTCAATTTGATCTCTCTCTCATTTATTTGAAGGTGTATACATGTACTAACGCATTTTCTCTGTTATCAATATTTCACAATAATTATTTTTTTCAAGTTGATGGATACGTCTTAGTTTGTCGTATTTTTCAGGCGAAAGAAGCAGAAAACTCACTTCACTGCGAAAACGAACATTTGGGAAATAGCTTGACCTTAACTCTAACGCCATCGGAGGTAAAAGAAAACATATTTTTAAGAAATTTTAATGTGACATCTAGTATATGAGCAGCTTTCTCTGCTGCAGACCTATTCTTTGTACTAAGTGATTAGAAAATTCTTATGTCATACTTTAGAAATATAATTAAGTTTTCTGTAAATGAAAAAGCTATTTCAAACCAGTTTCGCAAATTAAAATGCATTTAATTTGCATTTAAATGCATTTAATAGCAATTGCCTCAGTCGACTCGCCATATTATTATTACTATTGTTGTTATTATTTCGTAACTTCTACAAGACAAAAGTGGTATTCGCCAAGTGGCTCATGGACATCATGATAGCTTTCCCTGATGCGACACCGGGTTGGATTCCCAATCGGAGCAGAAAAAGAACTGTAGCTTTCCATTGCAACCGTCTCAGTTTGTAAGGATGAGTGACGAAAGAATAGCTCAGGCAGGTCAAGTATGTTAGGTGGTGATAATAATGAGAATATGCCATGATCGTGATATACCTCCTTTACTCCCAAGCGTGGATAAGAAGTAAAAACAGATTCAGAATCTGAGAACACCACTAGTTGAGAAAAGTTAGACCAATACGACCCTAAAATGCCAAATGCTTTCACATTAAAAAATAATAACATGTAATGATAACCTACTTCCTCTGAACGTTATGGTTTGCACATGTGAATTCGCACTGTCTAAATAGCATTGTGTTGTTCTTCCCTTGTATCCATGTACAAGCACTTGCTAGGACTCGCACTAGCCATTCTGCCGCTAACCGACGGCCGTTTCAACAGAATGCACGCCTGACTTCCGCGCTAATGTGGCATTGATATGCATGGACTGTTGCAGCCACCGGCGCCGACGCTGCTACCGCCGCCGCCGCCGCCACCGCCACCGCATCCTTTAGTTTCCCGTACCCTAGCCCCGACCGCTTTTGTGCGAGGCGGTGCAAGATTCGCTTACTGTCATATGCGCTCGCCACGCTGTCTCGCGCGTCGGGCCATTTTGGTCGTTCCTTTTATCCGCGAGCATTTGTTGCATAATTAAAGCGCTACTTCGGCGTTTCGGAGGGAGCTGTGTGAAAAACCATTTTTTTAAAAAACCCGACGAATGAATAGAAGAAAATCTGCACATACCGGTGCCGAGTTTTCCTCCTGGGTGGCGGAACTACGAAAGGAGCCGAGAGGGAGGTGAAATAATGGAGATGAAATGGGAGCCTTTGAGTAAAAGGAGCGCTGGTTAACGTGACGCGAATTTTGTCGTCGCATTGCTGCGGAGTAATTCTTTTCGGTTCGTTTACGTGCCAAGCGCTGTCGCTCCAAACACTTTAAACTCATAGCATACAGAAGGCGGTTCTGATATTACATGCGCTTTATCTAAGAGAATATTAAGAATATTCGCTTAATGTATTTTGAGATGTGTTTGTGTGTGTATGATTATGATCGTTGGGTCCATTCCGTCTTCATATTTGAACATTAACGCTCTGCGTTTAATGGCTAAAGTATGAAGTAAGAAATGTCTTTGTAGAACTTTGGTTTCATTCCATAATTTTTTTAACATATTAATAAATAAAATAGAAGTTTTTTTACCTTTTTAATCGTAGTAATGCAACGTCTCCATTTTTGTACCAAACATTGTGAATTTGAAATATGAACGAATGAATGGCAAACATTTTGAAGTAGTTTGTTATTCTTTCATGAAGGGGATATACCATTCATTGCGTATGTGTATAAATTGGAAATGCTACGTAAATGTCCTATGTTAGTTATGGTTTACAATAATATAATACTAATTAGAAATGTGTTATAAAATTATTATGTTAATATAATTAGCGAATTATCTTTTTTACACAGCAAAACCAAGTGTTTTTGTCGGTGAAATAATACAATTTATCATATTATATGCTATTATATCATAATGTAAAACAACATCCAAAATATGTTTGTTCAATTTATTAGTATTTTTAACTTTGTTGTTTTGGAAACGTATTCTGTATGCGCATTTGTAGATTTGATTTATATCGACCTGGTGATGAAACAGTATTAACTTCTAAACCTAGTGTAACTGAATCAAAATTACCGTTATAACATAATGTTTTATTTAAAAATATCAGTAGTACATTAGAAAGGGATTCATTTCATTTTAATTGCTTGTTTCGAAGGAAGAATGTGTAATTGAGTGGCAGTAGCATTAATGCCATTAGATTGCCAGTGAACGTAATAGCGAAGACATTGTTTATAATTACAAATTAATTTGTTACTCTGTGTGCAGAAACTAGAAGAGATATAGAAAAAACTCAACAAACGCCGTAAACGCCTGAGATGTTTTTGACTTGTCTTGAGAATAATTACTAGAAAGACCAGGAGGGGTAAAAAAACGTAGAATAAAATACAGAAGTAATGGAACAGGTTGGAGGGAAGGAAGCTGCGATGAGAGAAATGAAAACATATTCAAGAACAACGATTGCAAGACTGATACGATCCAGAAGAGTTGAGGAAACCAACAGAAAGAAGACCAGGAAGAACAAGGAAAATATTGAAATACTCGTATTATGTTTATGAACACATCGTATTCTTTAAGTCTCTATTGATGAAGGAATGTAAGATTCCTTCAAATGCTCCCTCTCTCTCTCTCTCTCTCTCTCTCTCTCTCTCTCTCTCTCTCTCTCTCTCTCTCTCTGTGTGTCTATAATATACTGAAAGAAAGATGTCGGTTTATTTTCTTATATTATAAAACATAGATACAAAATCCTATAAGTGTATTACTAATGGATAGGGAATAATCCTTTCCTCCTGGTGTGCATTAAAAAGTTTAAGATGAAAAACGACGTTCACTGTCTATATTGCATTGGCATATGGGAATTATCATGCGCACTTGCAAACCGCGAAACACGTTACCCCGCAACACACATTATCATCGTGCAAATCTCGCAGACAAGGCGTCCTAGTGTCTTAAAATCAGTGTTCTGAATCCTTATAGTCACATAGTTACAAGTTATGTTTTTGCCCCGTAATCTACTAAATGGGACCTTTTTGTACATTTTGTACCCTTATTGGAAAGTTCCGCAGTAACACGTGTGACCACAAACGCTGGATGTTCGGTTACAATGTGACGATATTTTTATTTTTTAATTTTTTTTTAATTTGATTTTTTGGAGCGTGTAGATTTAGCGAAGAACTTTGTGGATCTTTATATTACATTTTTGGTTTTTTTCTCTCTTCTGGATTTTCTGGCTATTTAGGACTTCCCATTTTATTCGGTAGGGGAGGCTTTTTACTACGTACCGCCGTAACGTTTATAAAAGTATTTAGTAATTTAAAAAAAGCACATTCCTTAATTTTTTGAATTCCAGATAGTACAAGTGCGGGAGCATGGAGTGAAAACGTTAAGAATAGTGGGTAACAGTTATGAAAATATTTGTACAAATATTTGGGAGAACGTTTAAGAAAACATTTAGGAGAATAATTGGGGAAACATTGGAGGAAGATATTGGACAACATTTTGGGGAACCTATGATGAACACGTGAGGAAACATGTACGATAACTTACGGGAAACGTAAGATGAGGAAACATGTGGTGAACATGAGAAAGAACGTGAATGAAAGAGGGAGCATGCACTGAACTTGTGAGGGGAATTTATCGGAATGTTTGTAAAAAAAATGGAGAGGGTGAAGCAAAGAATTGAAGGAAGACTTAGATTTCCTGGTGACTCCAACTCCGTAGCAATGTTGTCAGAAACCAGCAGAAATTAGAAATCTATGAAAATTAACTCGACGCGTTAGAAAGGACGTTATGAGTGGTATTCAATGGTTCAATGTACAGTTCAGGTTTTGTCCTGAAGTTGAAATCCAATATCAAGGAATTTTGACTTTTAAGACATTCCAGACGGGTCCTTCTAGCATTTATTAATTTACGTGTTCTGCTTTTACTAGACCTACAACTTTGTAAATATATGAATATTACAAATTTTGTGTTAAAATAAACGAATCGTCAATATTATTCTCTTTTTTCCGAGAAACTATTTGGAACTTTTTATTCGCTAGTATCACGAGAATTCTACCATTCGACAGCTTTGACGAATATTTCTTCTGCTAAATTTCTTTGACCATGGCACTTTTCACCTTTGAAGGGTCTATTTGTTCCTTCATGTCGAGGGGAGACTTGTGGTGGCGGTACTTACTTTTGGACGCCCTTGAACGCCTCCTGGTGTACACTGGAGATCTTGTTGGCGTACAGCATGAGGATCTCGAGGGTGTCGAGGCCCTCGAAGGCGCGCGCGTGCAGCTCCGTCACTCGGTTGTGGTTCATGTTGAGGATGAGCAGGTGGTGCAGCGCGTGGAACGCTGTCGTGGGGATCATGGTCAGCCAGTTCTGCGACAGGTCCAGCTGCGTCAGCCCCTTGCCTGCCAACAGGACGCAACACGACGCGTTAACGATTTACTCGAGGGGCTCTCATCTGTCATTTACACTGTTTGTGTGTGTTTCACGAGATAAATATAGTAAGTTATGAAAATATGTATTTTGTTAATATTGGCCTGTATTTGCATTAGAGATTCTCTTCCTTCTTTCGGACGTGATGAGTTTTGCGTGTAATTTTAAGATAAAATAAAATGGGAGAATATTAGCAATTAATAAATATCGGATGATGGATGTTTCTAAATTGGTTTCATATTTACTAATATCTGAAAGGAAAGTGGATCATGGATGCTGAAATATTTGGAGGTATTCGGAAATAAAAATCAAACATTAAAGGGAATACATGAGTTACACCGACAAGATATATTTAGACCATGTAGTTATGTTGAGGCTTTCACAGTTAAATAAAGTATGTAAAGGGATGTAACCATTTTCATATAACACTAACACTTTTAATGCATGTGGTGTACGAGCAAAATTAAATGATATTGAATAGCCATGCTTCTTTGATCACAACATTTCATATGGGACAATAATTCGTTTCTGTACGCACGGAGATTGCTTCTATATTCATTTTATATCGTCAGTTTGGTTTATTTAGGTATCTCCCCATGACAGTAGGGATGGGGGCATTAAACAAGTTACGTGTAATGAGATTAGGGGTTGTTACACTCGTTATTTTAGTAAGGAAGAACAGCGTGCGTGCTTTGTGTATTCGGGGCAGACAGCATTACAGGGACATTACTTTCCATTACGCGTGGATTAACGGCAATGGTGTTTCGCCCCCGCCTGCGTAGGATGTTGTTTCGCTCCGAACCAGGCTTACCAACAGTTGTGAGCTTGAAAGCAGTACCATATACATGTGTCGCTGCACGATGAACAAAAAATTCCTGCTTATTACTTGGGTTTGCTGCCGGTTATACATACACGCGTAGTTCATGAATGTGTTATTCTTTTCCCGTGGATATGTTAGGGAATGTGAAATAAGTTTTTAACATGGTTCGTCACTTTCTTTGTGCGGAGCTTTCAGCAAAATCTGCTGCTGCCTGTTATTTTGCTGCGTTGAACCGGTAGGAAACAGGGGGAAGAGGCAAGCTGTTGAGAGAGATGTTTTGTTTTTTATTCCGAAGGGCGGAAGTGTTCGAAGAACATTAGGGAATTAAATTGAGAGAACAGCGGGACGAGCGATGCAAAGTAACGAGGGGTCTGCTTTCGAAAGCGCGAGCAGACATGATTGGTGGAAAATTTCCCCTCAAGGAGAGCTATATCCTTTTAAAGAGAATCGTCATGAATGTTGAATGGATGCTTTTTTGTTAACATTGCCGTTCAGCAAACTCTTAAAAAATTGTTACTATTTGAAAGAGAAAATAAATCTACGGCCTATTTTAAAATTCATTTTTGTAACCTTTATTACAGAGCATGCGTATGCATATATAGAACGTGCATGTATGCATTAGACAGTACGTAATAATTTTCTGTACAGCTTTAAATAAAATTATTGAATAAGTATCTTATCTTCATATCACGTATCAAATAAATAGACAGATTATAAGTTATTTTTCATTTCACAAATGTATTACAAATTTTTATTCTATTTGAGTTTTTGTGAAAATGATCATTTAAAAAAGTTCCTATTACAACAAGTAACGAACTATGTCTACTTGGATTGATAATGCTGTGAAAAGGTTTAATGTTAAAGGTTGAGTGACGAGTTGCAGTAGTTTTCTTAGACCGGTATCTGATGCATGCTGTAAGGGACCAAACCATTTCTGAGGTTTTGTGACGCAAAGTCTATTTGATCATATGATTTGTGTGTTTCTCTGGTTTCAAATTATAAATTAACGAAGTTCATGAAAATCAAGTTTTTATTTTAACAATAAATGATGGTACAAGGCATTAAAATAATAAATTCACATGGTTAATAAATTTTTAATCGAAGCGTATATTTTATATGTGCTTAGCTAGCGTCAACGTGTACTGTTGGTTGGGCTTATTCAATGTGAAAACAATGAACAAGGCCAATGCAGTGGACGATAAAGGGACGTTTTTATTTGCACCCAACGGTACTCACCTATGGAGCTGATCGACGAGTCCTCGATGACGGAGAGGCTGCTGTTGTGGATGGTGAGGTGGCGGATGTCCAGGCCGAGGAACACGAAGCTGGGCAGCTTGTGCAGGTTGTTGTGGCGCAGCTTGAGGTAGTAGATGACCGCGCCGGGCGACTTCTCCTTGAGGGCGCGCATCGCGTCGATGATGTGGTGCGAGTTGGTCTGCTCGCAGATGAGGTCGAGCCCGTTCTTCTTGACGTTGCACGCGCACGGCGAGATGTCGTTGGGCGGCGGGCAGCGCAGCATCTGGCCGGCGGCGCCCGCCCACAGCCACAGCCAGCACCAGCCCCACAGCAGCGCGGCCGCCGCGCCGCCCGCGCCGCCCCAGGCGCGGCCGCCGCCGCCCCGCCGCGGGCACCACCACGCCCACGTCTCGCCCATCTGTCGACACGGGACAAGAGGCGGACGGTTAGCACGGGGAATCACGGGTGTATCAGGGGGCGTCAACTGACAAGGCCATTAGTTATCTAACTATGATAGTAATGAGCGTAGTAATAAGCACATTAGGGGGGAAGGGAAGGGGCAGATGGAAAATGTAAGGGGAGAGGCTTTGGTGCGGACGATCTTCTGTGGCGCCGTTTGATTTCAGGTGCTGAGGAGGCCAAGCACTGGAAGGAGACGGCGGGACGCCCGCGCCAGAAAATAAAATAGCTAAAATAAACGTCGGATAGATTAGAATGTACTCGGTTTCTGACGGCAGGTTTTTCCCCCTTCAGGGGTTTTTTCCTGAGCCGTACCTTGTGGTCTCTTTTCCGCGGCTTTGATGCGATGGAGAGACCATTTGGGGTGAATACCAGAATTCGAAAGATTTGAAAGGATGTAGGTATTGTAATGGCTTAAAGGCCTTCGGCCTAGCCACATAGGATCAAGTAATCTAATTCGTTTGTAATAATTACCTATTAAATAAAAAAATAAAACTATGATTCATGTTTTTATCGGGAGGTGACGGTAATTTTCCCCCGCGGGATGTCGACATCCGGCGCCGACCTACCCGTCGGCTGGTCGAGATTTCCCGACCAGGTATCTCTCAGCAGCGGGGCACCGGCCCAGCCGGGACAAAAGCACTCAACTGGTCTCCCGATGCGTGGTGGTGTAGTGTAAGGCAATGCGTGTAAATAAAGTACGTGTAAGTGGGAATGAAAGATTGCGCGCGGTCTGTGGCCCTGTATTGCTCCGGCATTCGCTTGGTGTTGATTAAAAAAATACACGAGAAACTACCGAGCAGAGCAGAATAGCCGCAAGAATTCTTAACACAGCAACTAAATCCGACCTAGCTATCTGACTAGTGTCAAAATCCCTGCCACCGGGTATGTGAACCCTAGGTCTCCCAATCATAGGAATTGCAGTGACATCAGTTGAGACACCTGAGCCGATGTGACACTGTGGAAACCTGTCAGGATTAACTATTTCTGAGGTACTTTTGGTAATCGTATATTACATGGAAAAGAAAATTTGTAGCTTTAAATATGATAGTCTGTAAGTGAAAAAAAAATGATGAAATTATCATGGTTTCTTATGAATTCATTAATTAGATAAAATGTATGAAGTTATCGGGATACGTTGAATGTTCAGTGATTAAGTTAAGGAAGAGATGCTTCTCATTCGAACATTCCTTTGTTCAGTAACGCTGTTCCGTTAGACACGTGTGTACTGCGGGTTGCCGCGTAAAAACCGTATCGTATTTCAGCAAATTCAGTTACGAGGGTGTACTACTTCAGTGAGTTACATTATAATAGAACGATATAATTTCTTGAAAAATTGTGAGGCATATTAAAACCTGTTTTTAATTATATATGGTATTTTACCTTTCTCTCATAATGATATTGTATTATTATTAACATAATAATAATAATAATAATAATAATAATAATAATAATTTATTATTTATTATTTATTATTATTATTATTATTATTATTATTATTATTATTATTATTATTATTATTATTATTATTATAAACTAAGCTAATTGTCTCTAACCAATTCTTTCGAAATGGCTATTGTGACTGATCGAAGACGATTCAATCCACTTTTCTTTTTTTTGGCGTCATATTCCATTCAATTTAGGCATATTCACGGTAATGATCGTTTTGTTTCAATACCTTTCAACACTCTTACGTATCTGCTTGTAAATTAGTGGCCTTCAACTTCAACGATTTGAGGACCACATGTCCGTGGTTTAATTTTTGGCGACTGCGCACAAATACTCATTTTCAATCAATAATTTAGCACCTTGATTTTCATTTCTTAGAACCTTTGGGGACACTACTAACTTTTTTTAAAATATTTAGATAATCCTTGGTTAATTTTGAAACACATTTAAAAAATTGTAACTTCTGCATGGGGCCTTGCGTATGTTTTTAGCCCATTAAAGCTAGAATTGAACATTTAGAGACAAAGAAACTGACCAGTTTTATATTAAATTAAAGAATGACTGTTTTGTTATTAATCAACTTTCGCACGTGGAAGGCAAAATATAAAACACATCTTAACGCATATACACATCTGAAGTAACGACTACAATTATTGTATATTTGTGTTACATACGTAAGGTGTTATTTGATGATAAATGAACGTCACCTGCTAAAAAGAAAATGGCCCTCTAGTTAAAAAAGTTTGAAGACCACTGCTCTACTTTTTTCAGTTTCAAATGACATGATTACTATATCCCTTTCTACAATCTCTACAGAATTCATAACAGTATCTAACTAGTTATTTCTATTGGTAAAGTGTTTTTGGGCGGTCGATGAAAGTCGGTGAAATATCTCCATCAACGCCATTGAAACGCACTCACCGCTTGCGAAGTTGTCATTGCTGGCGCCGTGTTGTTAGGGCGTGAGCGTCCGCGCGCCCTGGCGGCCGCTGTCGATCCCCGCCCGTCCTCCTCCTCCGCCTCCTCCCCACCTCCGCCGCCCGGCGCTCCTCCTCCGCCGCCCCCGCCTCCTCGTCTTCCTCCTCGCGCCGGCGCAGCGGCCCTCAGCCTCGTCGTGGCGCTCGGTCGCCGCCTCGCTGGTCGCTCGCGCCGCGCTGCGTGCTAGGCCATGGGGCAGGCCGCTCCCGACGCCAGCCGGCGGAATCTGCCACACACAAGCACACCACACGCCACGTTACACTTGGTGGATATTGATTAAATACACATCCTATTTAAGGGACACTAGACATTATGGCAACAACAGACTATTGTATAACTATGTATGAAATTGGCGCGACAGCCCGTGAACGGGAACCCTATTTGCCTAGTGGTTATGGGTTAAAGGGCTACGTGTTATTAGCACGTAGACATCCCCGCGCCGTATTCCGGTCTTCTCAATCTGGGAAGTAAATTTTCGCATCGTCACACAGCAACATACACAGGGACATTAAGAGAGAAACACACAATATAGTCTTGGTTCGACCGAGATTCGAACCCGGAGCCGCGTAGTGGATAGCGAGCACGCTGACCAAGAATGGGCTCAAACTACCAGCAAAAAAATTAAAAAAATTCTTCAAGAAGAACTTGAACTGACGTTAACATAGCAACTAAATACTTTATGGCATAAATACCATAATCCTTAATGGAATAAATTTCGAATAAATAACAGCCGAAACCTTTAAAGTTATAAATATACTAGCAAAATGCGAAAATGGTAGGGATTGGCAGAGAGACAGCAGCAATGACGACCAATTATTTGGCAATAATAAACTTTTAAATAAATGACTATATTTCAATACTATCAATTCTCGCAGAAAATATGTTTAATACAAGTTGCTGAAATAAGGCTTACTTTCCCTTATACATAGTCCCATTAACATGGAGAATATTAAACTATTTTTTAGTGAAAGCTCTTCTTTGAATCTTTAAGAATAGAAAACAAATTATTACTTCTCTGAATCAAATAGATAAATGTGTTAGAGGAGTAGGTTTTCCTTTTATTAATTATTTGCCATTTATTATATTATTAATTTGATTACTTTTCATTTGAAGTTTTGTATGAGAATGTTATTTATTTTTTATGGTTAATGTATGATTTATGTTTATACGTAATAGTTTCCTGCACAAGAAGTAGGCCCTTGCTCTGAACAGGATGCATAGTGGCTAATAGTAATAATAATAATAATGATTAATAATGATAATAATAATAATAATAATAATAATAATAATAATAATAATAATTTGCCGTTGAGTGATATAACTTATTTTAGGGTGAAGCGCGGAAGTGTGATGCCAGAGCACTCAGCTTCTTCGTACAAGTTGTGAGTGAAGTTCACCACATTTGCATCTCTTGGATGACATAATCTCCTTTCTCTTACTTTTGTTTTCCTACAATCCATCATCGTTCATTTCTAATGACATTCATTTAAATAATCACCGTCTGTAGGTGCTGATCAATTAAAATGACCAACTAGTTGTTGACTGATTAGAATGTCGGAATTCAACTATACACAGACCTTATCTGATATTCATTTCATGGAGACAAACCACACTGAACACTTTATTGATAGATCGAACGGTAGATTGATTGAAAGATTCTTCAAGTTGTAATTCATTAATGAACATGTGTGAGTACATTGCAAAGTGAAAAATAAATTAGAGGTCTTTCCGTCTGTCATTACTCAACGAGCCTAATACTCGTAGTTACAACATATTGTTACGAATATTGCATCACATGCCGGAATTCGCTGCGCGTGGATTGCGTCATCTGCCGGCGCCCCTTCCCTCCCCCCCGAACTAGACGGTTCCGGACTATGCGCGAGCCGTGGGAAACGCCCAGAATGTGCCGGGTGCCTGGAGACAAGCGCCGGGCAGGTATAAATGCGCCGCTGCCGGCGGCCGCGAGTCAGTTAGTAGAAGAAGTCAGTAGAAGACGTGAGTAGAAGTGAGTGGTAGAGAAGCAGTCAGTCCGTCAGTGTGTCCGAAGTGGAAGCTGTGCTGTGAAATGTGCATTGCGGTGAAGAGTGGTGCAGCGGTTGAACAGCAGTCAGCAGTCTGAAGTCTGCAGTGGAGGCTGAGCTGTGAAGGGTGCATCGCGGTAAGCAGTGGTGCAGTGGGGAAACAGCAGTCAGCAGTTTGAAGTCTGCAGTGGAAGCTGAGCTGTGAAGTGGGCATCGCGGTAAACAGCAGTGCAGTGGACCCTGGTGTGCGCAGTGAAGTGTGGTCTGCGCAGGGAATTGGGTCAAGTGCAGTGGACCGTGGACAGAGCATCGGACTGGCTGATACTGTAGAAGAAGAGAACAGTATAAATAAATAGTGTGTAAGAAGTGAACTGTGTAAATAAATCATCAAGAGAACGGAATCGTGTGTAAAGAAAAATAATTAAGTGTAATATATCTGTAAATAGACCAAGTATATTTAGTGTATGATTGTTCCCGAATAAACGTTTTTGTTTACATATTCTGTTGGTTTTAATTCACCACGGAGGAACGTTACAATATTTTATAGGAAAAACGTTCCAAAACAGTATTGACAAATATGATTATTGAAAAAGTTCTTAGTTGTCTCCTGAGTTGAAACACATTTTTATAATTTTCTAATTTCGGATGACTGTTAATCTATTTTATGTATTTTGAAATTATTTCATTATTTTAGTGAATTTATGAATCTAAAGTCTCATACGCAGGGATAATATAAACGATTTCTATTCTTCAACAGAAGCTTGCAGGTCGCTTCTCTGAGCGACTCCGCTGACGCCCGCGCATCATCTGAACAAAGCCTGTGATCGCAATTTGTCAGCGGAGCTCACGATCGGCATGTTTTCAATTACCTCGAGCTTTCCCCGGGGCATTATTAATATTCAGAAGTGATTGATGATTTTATTTGGGCTCGTCAGAGTTGGGTGCTCATATTTAATTCATCCCATACTCGAGGGCGCGTTGGCGACGGTAGCGGTCGCATCATTCAGGGCAAGTCGTTGTGCTCGGCCGGAGATATGGGATGCGGCGTAGAAGGATCGAAGATGTTCCATTTAGGCCTGATAATCTGCTACACTTTGTGTTTATAAATGCAAGTTACTCTGCGTGTTTTCATTCTATTAATTTTGTTGTTGTTTTTTCTGACATAGAAGTAAATATTGTAAGATATTGCGTAGTGGCTGAAATAGATTTACTAGTTGGTAAGTAGGATACGTGATAATGGCTTTGAATTTAGAAGACACGTTAAAGCCAGCATCGGTATACTTCTCCTAAAGGGGAGAGGTTGAAAAACAGCTAAAGAGCTTCATAAATTCGTAACTGGCATTTGATTTCTCTCAGACTGTTGCAGATGAACGATATAGAGACATTTATACGAATTTATAGCGCCTCATCGGCAGTGGAACGAATCTGTCTTCTGTACGCAAAGAAAATGTAGACGGGATGATGAAGATTATCATTTTACTTCGAGAAATAGGAGTGGATGTGGGAATGAAAATATAAATATTTAAAATGTTGTTCTTAAGAACTTTCCAAACTTAAGAGTAGCAAATGAAATGTGCAATTAGTTAAATACAGATTACAAAAATCAAAATATAAATAATATGAAACCTACTTCTACTAAGTTTTCAAATTGAAGACAATGAAACTGGAGATCTACTTTGGTTTAGAATTCATTAAACATGTGTATTATTGTTCTGAAGACAAACCATACCCTGTAGTGTTTCTAACAGACCACTAATCAATGTCCTTGAATTATCGACCGATCGACTCACTGTCGCAAACGAGCGAGCGGTGTTACCCCACCTACCGTTCTTTCGGTGTTAACACTTCGTTCTATTGGTTCTCTTAAAATGTGACTGATTTCATTGTGAGATTTGACATAATAATAGTGATTACGAATTAGTAACTTAATTTTGTTAATCAATTGTTAATGTTTACAAAATGCACCAATAAAACAAAATAATGGACTTCATTGGAAGTATTGAAAAAATATTATTATTTGAGTATTGAAATAATAAAATAGGTATTAAAACTAAATATTGAAAAATATCTACATATTTCCACCACAGGAATTTTTATGCTTAGTCTTCCACATTTCTTTTAGAATGTTTTGTCAGAAAGGATTTTTAAAGTATTAGTATAATCTACATCATGTTCTTATGTCTGTATGCAAAATGTTAAAGTATTACATATTTAACGTATTTAAATAAAATAACGGGTGTAGCTATTTCCGAAATCTGTTGCAGTCTGTAGCCCTTCGTATTTTCCTTTTAGTTTTCTTTATGAATTGATATTGATAGTAAAATGCACGGTAATAAATATGATGGAACGAAATCACAATGCTATTAAGTACGTCACTTTAATTTTTAACTTTTTAGAATGTTGCTTCAATGAAATAAAAATGGATTAAAGAAGCACTTTAATGAATACATCCGACAACAAATCAGCCTGTTTGAATTTTGTCGTACGCAAATATCTAATGATAGTCATTAAACGATGGATACAAAGATTGGTGACAAATTAAAAACAAGAGACTAGCCGTAGGCTAGTCTCTTGAAACAAATATGTTTACCAGTAACTCATAAGAGAAAAATTTTGAAAACGCAATACTACAATAATTGTAAGAAAACCAATGTAAAGACGGTTTTGTGTTCAGACAGACATTGTTCATAAACTTGAAAATTGATAAGAAGCGATAAAAATATTCTGAAGAAGTAACTACTGCCAGAAAATGCCTTGATGTCACAATAGTTCGCAAACTTTACAAAGGGTGCTTTTACCGCGCTTAGTACATTAACGCGAAACTGTTGCATTCTAAGTTGTTCTCTTTTATTACTTCGCTTTTAAGTTCTCTGTGCTTCTACTCTTAACCAGGTTTAAGCAGCCGTTTTATTGGGGCAATTCTCCTGAACACGATAAAAAGTGAAAACTTCTTTCTTGTATTGCATCTCATTTATGTTAAGAATTGTTATTTACGTGGAACTATGAAAATATGTGGTTAGTATTTGATTAAAAAAATATTTTTCTCTGACTTGCAATATACTATGCATTTATTCATGATAATTACATAGTGACCGAACCCAACAGAAAATTTGCACAATTTACAATTAGAAACAAAACAAAGAAATAACTCTAAGCACTAAATTTAATTTGTATTTTTATATATAGAATAAAGAAAGTATTCACCAATAGAAAAATAGTGTTTTTTCGATAAAAGTCAAGTGTTTAGCAGAAAGGTTCTAAACTAATTTATTAAAGAACAAATAGTATTGTTGAATATTATTAGTACAACAATATTTTAGAAAATATATATATATATATATATATATATATATATATATATATATAAAATTGAAGTATCCCTAAAGAGTTCAGCAAGAATAAAATATATTTCTAAAATCTTACTAGCACAAATTTATTTCAATCACTTTATGACGCTATT